AAACATTGTCTCCCTTGAGCGAACGTTCTCAACAAGGGAAATGATCTAGCTTCGTTATCTGTCTTTTTGTATTTTTTAAAGTTTTACAATTATATTAGTGTTCCCTAGGTGGATTATTTGTTTTTATTTATATTTCTTCATTTTTTGCTCTGTGTTAATATTGTTTCTATTTTGGGTTTGCCTGTACTTGGCAGTTATATTTAATACTGTACATGTATAAGTTTAGTTAATCCGTTTGTGTAATATTATCCATTATTATTTCACTATTTTTGTATGTATTATCAGTGTTTGCCTGTTATTGGCTTCTTGCTGTTGGCAAACACGTAAATAAATTAATTGAATTGAATTGAATTAATTGAATTATTATTACATTATATATTATAAGACTACTAACTGCTATGATGATGAAATAGTTGTCTTTTGCTGCTGAAAATCTGGAGTTAACATTCCTTAACAGTTAAACAGAGCAGCCATGTTGTGTTGCATGGGGACTACAGACGCCTGTTGGCAGTGTGACGTAAGTAACTTTGCTTTGGGGATAATGTCGGAAGGTACACTATCATAACCGTCCACCTTCTTCGGTTTTGCTCCAGCTAGCTCAAATACTCAGGGTCGATCATGGGGATCGAATGTAGAATAAAGGAGTAACAATTGACTTGAATTCAAAGTATACCTTTATTGTATAGTTTCTTTAAAATGCACACTAATATAAGTTTTTGGTCTTCTTCCTTGAAGATACTCTCTACTACTGCACCACTAGTCTCATCTTCGCGAGACCACACATGAGTCCGCCACCTAGTCTCTTACTTATTACAATCACCTCTTTGTTCGAAGGAATTCCACCCCAGCTCACTCACGCAGCTTTAATGCGCAGAACTCCATTACGAAATCATAAACGAATTTGGTTTAAGAATAATGAAGGCAGTGTCCGGACCGTTACACTATTTAATGTTGAGTTTAAGACAGTCACCTTCATCCATTTACTTAACAGCGTTAAATTTATAGTTCATCGTTGAATGACATATGTCAATGTGATAGTGATTAATGCATTGGTAAAAGATGTGGGACGTCGATAGATCGTAGCTAATACAAAATACGAAATGTCAATGGAGTTACAGAGGAAAACTACGAGAAGCATAATTCAGGGTAGTCAGTTGAAGATTGAGATTTTAAGAGGACTCAGCTGGATCTGAATCAGGAATTCTTTGTATGACGCTACATTCGGTGTGATTGACCGTAGTTATGTCGGTGAAATTAAAAATTCGGCGATGCCCCATCTGAAACTAATATTCTAGGCTAGTGTTCCGATAGAATTTCGACTTAGGTAAGTAAAATTAAATGAATAAGTAATTGATTTACTGTTAACAGTTTCACAAAGAAACGGACGTACGGGCTGACGGGACAGGGAAAATAGGATTGCCTCGTAATACCGCGTTTTGTGAGCTATTCCTAAACACGTATGTGGAAACACGTTTGCATTGTCTCGGCAGAATTTCACTCGCGTCTGAGCTCACTGGGTCGGAAACAAAAAAAAAACTAGAAGCACCGAAGTCAGATGGGTAGACAATAAGTCAGACAACTATTCTGTCGTTAGTTTTTCCTGTTATTAGGTTGGCATTTCAAAAGCGAGTCTATTCCATTAAGCCGAATTTCCGCTGCGAGTTCTTGAAGGCAGTGAGCGGTTTCGACTGGATGAACAAGTTTTTGTTGAGTAGTCTGGCGATTCCAGCATTGTCTGCAGTCTCTTGAGCGATGGATGCTGTTGGCAGACCTGCTGTAGGTTGTGTAGAGCTTTGAAGAATTATCTGATCTTAAAGAAGAGGTTTGCTCTTATTAGCTGTGTCGGAAACCCTCCCTCCTTTCTTTCTTTCTTTCTTTCTCTCTTTCTTTGGAGCTGCTATCAGGTGGAGGCTATAGGTTATTGAACGGCGCACAAAAGTGTGAGTGCGCATTGATGATGGAAACAGCAAGAACCTTTGAAACGATGATAAACTTCTACCAGACTTCCCGGCGCTCCCACCCAGAAGACAACCACCGTTGTAATCTGCCGTTTTTTAATATAATTTTAATATTATCTCTCTATCTACTGCTATATCTCGCAAGTATACTCTCCTATTAACATATTGCGAATAAAATGTATAATTTTATAACATTCCCGAGCGTGCTACATGTTCCGCCCATCTCATCCTCCTTCTTTGTGTCTCATAATAATGAGGTTTTTAAAGCTCGTTGTTGCACAGTATTTCCAGTCTCCTTTCCATTTTTTTTTCCTTTATAGATATATTATCTCCAAAGAAACGAGACGTGGAACTCTTCCTGGATATTTGAATTGATCAAATTAAGCTCTTTTAAACGCATTTGTTAAAAAGTTGAAAACAATGCAGATTTTAGACTTTCTGTTGCAGAATTCTGTTGTTAAGCCTATATATTTTATTAAATAGGCTACAGGATAACATCCGTTCTTTTCGCGATGATAGTGGCCAATTGAAGCTGTTGCGTCAGCTCTAAATCTTTTGTATTAAAACGTCAGCCGTAAAGAAAGGAATGTAACAGCATACTTCTTTAGGGGATTCAGTGATGCAAGCATACTCTCTTGTGTTCTGATAGGCCTGTGTGGTCGAAGGAATTAGCACGAATTAATACATCCTGTAGTTATAAGTTCCACATTTCACAACTTGTGCCGTTCCCACAAAACTTTTCTTTTGAATAGGATGTTTATTGTCCAGCAGGTAACCGACGTTTTCGTCAGTTAACGTGAACTACTAGGCGAACATTATTTCTATACAAGAAAATTAGACTGAAGGAAAAGCTTAATGAACACCTATCCTTATAACTTATAAAATCGAATGGTTATGCTTGATAATAAATTGTCTGTCGACAGTATTACAACAGTTGTAATGACTAACTGGCTCCTTGAAGCAGAACCTTGAGGAGCTGATAGTCGCTCAACTAGCTACAAAATTTCCTGTAGTCTGTAAAATTGAACTTAAAAATCCAGTACCGTGTCTAAAAGAACCCGCCACCAGATCTTACTAAGAGCGTCGTCACTCTCACACAATTTCTTTAAGATCGATCCACTTTAATATTATCCTTTCATCTACGACTAGGTCTTCTGAATGAGGAGAATGTTCTGTTATATTATATATCCAGAATCCTTTAACGTTAACGATACTTGCAGGTAAGCAAAGAAGTAAATAGAAATTGATCTTTTGTTCATGATAAATTATGAATCGTAATATGGTCTACAAACATAGCAAAGGGAAATAAAACTAAAACCCACAGGTCTGTTGAGAAAAAGAAGCCATTAAAAAAATTGTGACAAATTAAAATAAAGGTATTTAATACTAGGGGAAAAGCTACTTCAAAATATAACAGTGAGACTTGGGTTGTTGAAGAAAATACATCAAACAAATGGAAGGAAGCAGACAGATAGTTTTCACGTACACAAGACTAGATCACCAGCGAAACATAAAAAGCCTTAAATGTGTCACAGAAATAGCCTTGATATTGCAGAGTAAGCATGCAGACTGCAGGCAGATAACCTAAATATAGGTAATTTGGACGAAGAGGTCCAATGTGACTGAACAGACATGAAGAAACAAACAGCAGGACCTACCTAGAAGATTTAGGAATAGTAATTAAACCTCATCTGCATTGTTCTTGAGGACAGTGAGGCTGAAGACACAATTTATTTTAGACAGATTTCGTGTTATTCGAGAATTTTTTTAAAATTCTTTATCATGTGCAACAACTTTCTGTGCGGCGACTGTGGTCTGCAGAGCACGCACTAGAAAGTGCTTGGTAACACATCTGAAGTTTCCAGATCAAGGAGATTATTCAGCACTAACCCTAAGTGTATCTGGGGGAACCGGAAAGGGTTTCCCCCACTACCAGTAGAGAAGTTGACGTCAGACACCACTGTGTATTCCGATTGGCTGCGGGTGTGGCCTGCGCAAGGCGGGGTCGATATAGGCATCGAACATTTCGTTTTACCCAGAATGCTTTGCAGCTCTGAAACCCCAGCCAGGCTGTTCGCAGGCCTCCCGAAAGGGGATTGTAGCTGAGTGTGGAGTTGAGCACTGTAGAGTAAGGACGTGGATTGTGTCGGGAACTGAACAGTATGGAACTCTTTCATTTGGGCGTGTAGTGTGTGTACTGTGGATCTGTGAATGACTGTACTCAACATGTTCCTGTATGTGGCTGTATACACGCAGTGTCACACAACGGTGTCACATTTTGTAACCAAAGAGAGGCATCTCCTCTTCTGTTGATATTGGACATCTCAGGTGAGCTACGAATGTCAGTTCATCTTTTTGTTTTCTTCTTTCTTGTAATGCATTAATTACTGTGTTTTGTGTGATTCATTTGGAGAGGGAGTTGGCACCTTGAGGTTGCCTGTTGTCATCCCCAACTGCCTCTGTCTCTCTCGCTCTGTTCTTCCGTTCTCTTCGTCTCACCCCTCTCGAATATTGACAAAACATACCATTGCAGCCACCGTTGCCGGAGTCAGCGAACAGGGGAGAACATTCGGCTTTTTCCCCTTGCTCGCCAAGGGTCATATTCCCTTCCCCTTTCAGTACTCTCTGTATTTCCACGTCGCCCTTGGCGACCAGAAGTGGATCCCTTGCCCTTCGGATTCCATAGTATCGACCACCCTGTCGGAGTAATGCAGCTCTGTAATCAGTGAGGGAGAGAGATCAAGTGAGAACGTAGGAGAACGAGAGAGAAGTTTGGATGTAATGTACGCTCTTCTTTCCTTTATCGGCTAGCTAGAATGTGTGTGTATTGAGTGGAACTTCTCTGCGCATGCACAATGTTGCCACATGTATCCTGCCATGCAGTTAATGTAGTTGAGCGTGGGAAGTTGTGGACGTGGCAACCCTGCTTTGTCTCGTGATGGTTTGCTGCTGCTGATGTATGTTGGAGCCGGCCACAGACACTGTGCATTTCATGAATGAGAAATAGCGTCCATGTGATGGAATGACGTGAAACAGATCATGTTTCGTATCTGTGCAACTGGATACGCGTAGCAGCAGGAAGAGGTGCGATATACTCGATAGTAATTTAGCAGTACTACGACTCTTATTAGATGTAATTTCCCGTTGTGAGAAGCGTCATGATTTTTGCTCTGTAATGTTGTTAGCGTGTCTCAGACGAGGAAAATGACGTGCCGAAACAAGAAATTTAGAAGAAATTTCGGCCAGGTACTACAAGTAAAGAGATATGTTGGGAAACTACGTGTGTGCCCTACATGGGAGGATGATACTAAAATGGATCTGATTTGATTAGGGATCTGTTGGAATTACGGACATACTTCTGGTACAGAATAGCGACAAGTAGCTGGCTTGTTTGTACGTCAGTAAACCTACCGTTGCCATAAACGTAGAGAATTTCGTGACAAATTAGATACTCTGACTATGTAATATGGAGTTATCCTTCTAGGCTGTGTTTTCCTGTTGGTGTCGAAATTAAGCTTGGCACCCGCTCAAATATTGAAAGTATGAAAAATAGACAAATGGAAATGCATTTGCAGTTAATGAGATTCTTTATTCCAATGCAAACCACTTGTAGAATTCAGTTTCTCTGTTTTGAGGTTAAGATTCTGAAGCCTCATGCTGATCGAATATTACATCATGGCAATTGAATTTAATAATCGTTAATTTAAATTGGCATAAAATACTTGCTTCAGTTAGCATGCATTATAAAAATTAAAATGTACTATCTTACGGATGTCGTATCAAATAATGCCATCAGCAGTCTTTACTATCTGTTTCATATAGTGAACTCCCAATTGGTTGAAACTGCTATTATTCAGTTATTGAGCTAGTACCAGGGCACTATTTGCAAAATAATATCTGTGCTAGGACCTCGTCACTGTTTTAGACCAGGCCGCTATTTACATTGTCCTTTGTAGTCCCTGGTTATCCTATTTGAAACCCTTGCCATAGTTAATTTATTCGTTAGTACGTGGTTTCGATATGAGATCCTGACATTATTTGTAATTTTGAGCCTTTCCCGGGATTAAATTTGAGATCCTGTTAGTATTTAGAATTGATACCCTACTCCTAGGTTGTTATCTGAGGCCTGGCCACTATTTACAATGCATGTGACAGTACCCAGCTTGTGTGTTATATCCGGCCACCATTTTGAGTTTTTCACAGCCCGGCTGTTGGGCTTATATGAGACTCTCCTGCTGCTTCAAATTTACTGATGCAAGTACGCGACTGACTTGCGAGGATAAGCACAAAATTTAAATTTCTGTGCCATCTCTCAAGATTCTAAGTGCTCTAACAAATAGCCTATTTGCTGTAGACCCTATGCTTGAATCATCGTCATGTATGTTTCTCGTTTCGGTCTCCTGCCGTCGACCGTCCACCTGGTATTTAATTGTAATGCCCAAGAACACCTTTATCGTCACTCACCATTTAATGTTAAATAGAATTGGGGTTGAATCGCTCTTCACGCAAAATTTCTTTCTAAAATTATGATGATTCTAGTTTAAATTTCAAATACGATAGGCCTATGAGCTATGTTTACTTGCAATTACCATTTTATTGTCCGTTATGAAAACAATTCGAAGGTGTTGAATAATAAATAGCTTAATATCTCAGATTCCTAAAAAGTTCGTATAAACCTCAGCCGAGCTGTGACTCACTACTTACTGTTCCTGAACTCGATAGTAGCCCTATCACAGACTTTCTATAGTCCTATAGATATTGTTCTTCAGTAATTTAGTTTCGCCATAACTGACCTCCCATCTGTCCACATGTAACAGTTTGAGCTTCTGTGAGCAGATCTTCGTGAAGATTTTTTTTTTTTTTTTTGCTAAGTTTTGGTAAAATTCGTACGGAACTCATGGTCGTTTTACTTGACGAACTGCATACGCTTCCGTTTCTATCTCAAGCGTTAACTCATTAAATATTTATCGGAGCGGAAAAAGTTTCGAACAGAGTTGTAAATAAAATGAGAACACATTTTATATCCAGCAGCCTGTGATTTTTCCTAATTCTGTCTTCAACTTTATTGTTCACAGTTGTCACTTTTTCATTAGGGTTTTCTTTTCTAGTTAAATTTTCACAAAATAATCACACCTGTCTTTTTCCATGTGTCCTCACATATTTCGGTGGTAGTTTGAGCCCCCCTCCTACCTTCCAAATATGGCCCTGTTCTCGTTTTAGCCAATGTATTATGTAAGGCTATGAGTAGGCTATATACGACTATATAGACTCTTAGAAAGGGCTCCTAATTTGCGGAGGCTTTTGAAGAAGCTTACTGAGAGAACAAACAAGCTAAAATATCAATTTATTTACTTACCACACGTTATTTACAATTACCCTTTTTGAATAGGTCTGTAGCTGGAAAACGCTTTCACAAATTAGGCACCAATCACATCCTAATTTAAGGCATGGGTGAATTATTTATTTATACGATAAATTGGTAACAATTGAATGAGTTGTTTGTCTGAATTTGTTTTTATTTCATTGCTACGCAGCTTCAAAGTCAACACGTGTGTCCCCACTTGTTACACAGTGCATCTCGTCTTGGCCTGTAGCCTGTGTCCCAAGTTCAGTAACACTGAGTCATAGCGATAGGCTATAACCGTTGCATCTGGTGTGGAGAAAATGTCACTTCTTGTTCCAGAAGACCGAATTATGGAGGTGTAACCATTAGGGCGTTCGTCTGGTGTGTAGGACACACTGCCTTCTATATGAAGTGTGCAAGAACTATTGAAGGTCCACATTTTGGGTTTTCTGTGGTTTCCTACAGACTATAAAAATTGGGCCGACAAATTGGCGCTAGAACGAAATTCCTTGACAGCACGCGGCGTTAAATAAGACAGTCAATGTGGGTGGCGGAAAGAGATGCCTGCCGTTAGTATTTCTGAAAGAAGTGATCGGATAAGGAACTGAGTGCTGCTTCTGTATGTGGTTAAATGAAAAGCAGTCCCTTGGAATAAACGGGAATTGAAAATACTGATGTATGTGGTTAAATGAAAAGCAGTCCCTTCGAAGAAACGGGAATAGAAAATACTGATTCAGGTTTTATAATCTAATTCGGGAGAAAGTTGCTTCTTATTCTGAAAGTAACGAATCTAATTGAGGGGGAAATTGTAGAGAGGCGTATCAAGGAAAGACCAAAGTTTTAAAGGCTTGTTATGGGTTAATAAATTTCGATTTTTAATCTGTGCCGCTAAGATTAATCTGATACAAGTTGCTTTGCCACGATTTGTCTTTAGCTCTGCATTCGAATATCCTACACCATTAACAAGGCACAGAAAATTTATGATGAACTTGAAATAAACTTCTGGTCTGTTCTCAGTTAGGCAAATGTTAATTTATTGGGCGAAATATTTCTTTATTCCAAACGGACTTGGTGATCACCCGCCCGTCCCGTTCCTCCGAGTGCATTCTGGTGGTAAAATTAATCTGCTAATATCTGCAATCGACAGATTGGGTGAGGTCGGATTATGTGTGATAAATGGTCATCACGGAAAGTGACGTGTACAAGATCACAAAGATCGCTGTGTGTACTCGCATCCAGTGAGGCCTAGTTCTTTTTCTTAGGCACAGGGATGATTGTTTCGCCCGTGAGTGGACTCCGAGTTGGTGTAGGCCTGCGTCTTCCACTCTTGTTACGACAGTAGCCTAGCGCTCCCAGTCTTGAATCGAAAAGTCGAAGAAGAACCGAGTACATTATCATATTATCATGTACGGGTGTGGCGACTGCATAGTTTACCGCGGAAGTAGGGCCAGACAAGGAAAATCCTTTCCCTGTCATGTGACTTACTGATCACACATTGCTCATCGCTCGCCATTCCTTCCATACCGACACACTCTCTTTTCTCCTTCACTCTCGCCTCCTCCTTCATCATATTCTCGATTTTCTTATAATTTTCCGATTGTCATATTTTCCCCGCTGCCATAATCCGTAACTCCATCCACCGCTTTACGTGTTCTTTCTTACCCTTCTGTGCTGGTACTCCCCCATGCCGTGTCATAACAGTTGATTTCTAATGAATTAGGCGTCTTTATTATCTGTTTTCTTCATTTGTTTCTATAGTCTGTGTTGTGCTCATCAAATTTTAACGCTTTATTAACTATTCCTTGCGCAGTGTTTTGCGTCCATTATTTATGGACATATTCGTTTCCACGGCTCCGAGGTAGTCGAAAGCAAACCTCTTTAACACAAATTAATTTATTTTGTTTTCAACTAATGTCTTTATCTCTAATTTAGTAGGCCGATACAGCGTTATCTTCCCCCCCCCCACACAGGCCTACGTTACAAG